CGTTGAGGCCGAGGCGAAACGACAACCACAGAATTCGGTATCGAAATATTCAAATGAACGTAAGATGTGTGATTCAGAATGCACCTCAATAGTGTGCTCCATTTACACTCTGTCATTTGGCGTGAAATGCTGTATTCAAGTTCAACAATGTACTGTGTTTGTATTCTTTCAAATGCTGCATCTCTGTTATTCCAAATGCATTCAAGGGTTTCTGTGCGCTCCAGTTTAAACGGTTCGCCTTGAGGGTCACCGCGAGCGCGGTCCTCGGGATGGAGTCACAGAGATCATGGGACGAGGTCCTTGAACTCCTTATCACCATGGGATTGGGGATTTATTCCCTAACGGACATCAGATTGCCATTCACGGATTTCGGAAAAGCAATGGACAGCCGGGAGGAGCTTCTTGACATCATTGCAGATTCCATACGTGAAATGGAGGCTGGGAGCCCTGAAGACGGGGCGGGCGTCAGAGTCATGCGCCAAATCCTGGATGCGAGAGACGAGGATGGCAATGGGCTTGAAATGCCGGTCATCCTGGACAATTTGATTCTCATCCTGTGGGCTGGTAAGACGCTACCATTTACCATGTTCCACCGTTTCATATGAAAATCATGATTGGTGCATTGCGAAGAAAGGGCGCACATACTGATGGCATTGACGCCGTTGTTGTGGCTTCCTTTTCAGGTTACATTGGCGTTTTACTTTGCTCGCTCCACACGGGCGGAATACTGCTAACAATGCTTGACTAGTGATAGTAATCAATGGTGTGCGCTCAATAATGTTGCGCTGATGATCGACGTCAGTATTTTGTAGTTGTTGCATACTGCAAGAGTGCCAAAGTTGATCCCAGCTGTCCTTAAACTACGGGCAGAAAATTGGTGAATGCTCCCAGATAAAGCAGGAAATTATCCACTTCAGTCATCATCAACTGTTTTCAATTCCAGAGTATTGGGAATGGCCCATGACAAATCCATGGGATCATTAACAGCCACAAAAATGTTCTGAGTTAATTCATCGAGGACAATCATCTCAATTTTCTACAACAGCCGGCTTGTAGCCGTCCTGCTGCAGACAAAGGATCAGGCAGCACAAGAAAAGCAAAATGAAGAGTAGCCTTGAGCACGTCAAATGTGAACATACGAGCTCTCCGTAATGTGCTGAGAATGTGTTGGAATAACATTTATATTAACATTAGTTTTGAATGCAGCTTCTCCTTAACGTGGCCCTCCTCCGACTGGTCAATTCTGCTGGCATGCTCACCAAAACAGCTTTAGGGGTTTCATCGAGGTACACAACAAACTTGCTGGTGACACATACTGGTGAGATATATTCACGGCGTCGAACTATGCCACTTAGAGTCAAACTTTCCGCCCTTGATTATCTGGTTAAATGGTGTCGATGGCGCCAGGGTACGACACATTTAGCTCGACAATGGACACCATTCTACACGGACTGGCGCGTAACCCACAGGCAAGTGGACTGGAAAGCGCGCAGCGCTTCTGAGCACAGCATTCTAAATGGTTTGAATTTTGTTTGCCATGTACGCTTCACTCCGACAGAAAGGCTTTTTTTTCTTTCCTCGACATCTTGCTCCACGACCGTGCATGGTGCCTAATAGCAATGTGTACTGCAGTCTGCGTCGCAACTTTTCGGGGGCGAGAATATCGTGGATGCGAACCATTCTCGCCCAGTTTCCACTGGGCACAGCTAACTGCGTGCATGTGCTCAGTCTGCTTGGTATTCACGCCCACCATCGCCTATCAGGTGCACGGGCTGTGTTTTGTCATTTTCTGACAAATGGAATCGATGGATTTTAACGACTATGATGTGCACAGCTTTGGGACCAACTGCGCGAGGAGCAGAGGCAAGTGATGGAGTCGTTTGGTGAAGAAATCACCCCTGAGTCCTTGGCGGCAATGCCGTACACGGAGGTCGTCGTGAAAGAGGCTCTTAGGTCAATGCCGTCGTTGCAGTTCATGGTGAAGTACGCCGCAGAGAGCTTTGAGCTGGAAGGCTTCCGAATTCCGAAAGACTGGCAGGCGAGTGCTTCACAGACAAGTTGGCTTTACAAAGCTCCACGTGGAAACCCCAGTAGAATACCGTAGTTGTTTCAGCTGTGTGGAAAATGCTTGTTTTGCCAATTGTTTCCTGGCAGCAAGTGGCCCATGTACACATCTTTGCATTGATTTTCCATGTGCACTGCAGAAAACACGTCGCTTGCAGCCAGCCAAACACCACCCGAACGACCAACTGGCATTGGGTTAATGCATGCATGTCGTGTGCTCTCACGCGTGAGTCTTCTACTCTGCATCCGCATGACCTCTTTCGGTGTTAACACTGAAGCCGGAGCAGCCGGAACGTTCCGGCTCCCAGACTCCTACTCGATTCGTGTCAGCGATGCTGCGCAGGTCTTTTTCGGCGCCAGCTTCACAATGCGGCACCTGGACAAAACTTGGAGCGACCCGGCCACGTTCCGACCCGAGCGCTTCCTGGAGCCGGGAGCCGACAAGTTTGCCATGTTCTACCCGTTCGGCATGGGGGCCCACATGTGCCTGGGTAAGGAGCTGGCGCTCATTGAGACGAGGGTCATGCTGGCGCTGCTGGCGCGGGACTACGAGGTCACACTCAAGGACCCCGACGCCCCGGTGGACATGTTTCCCACACCGCACTCAGCGGACGGGTGTGTGGCCATGGTGCAAAAGCTCTCCGCAGCACAGAGCTGACTGAGGCCTCAGCATTGATCGGGTCAGGCTTCGGCTCTCTAAGAATTTGAAAGAGTTCAAAAATGCACCGTGGCGGGGTGAGCGTGGCGGCAGTTGTGGTGACTGTGCTGAGCAGGCACGGCTGCTGCGGTGCGGGCGCAGCCCCTGATATTGTGCAGTGCGTCGCTCGTTCGCCTGAAAAGGAAATTTGGTCTTGCTTCCTTTAGTCAAGAGCTTCTGTGTCTGGGAGGCACGACGATGTTGTGAATTCAAGCGCCACGGGATGCACAGTTCTGGGAAGAATCCTGGCGGCATGAGCTCAGAGATGGCTACACCTTGGGTATTTTTATCGAGCCCCCTGTGCTGGTATGCTTGGAAAGCCGACCTTCGGCTTCTACATCGCTGGAACAATGAGCGGCGTTTCTGAGGAGCGTGGCACAGTCGCGGTCTCGCAGCGATTGAGGGGTGGATTGATGACCACCCTCAGGCGTTTGAGGAGGGGCAACTGTCGGTCAAAATGATGTCGCTCACCTTTGTAGATGGCCTAAAGTGGTTTCCCTTGTGTTGATGGGATGTCGACCACTAAGATGGGGGAACCTTGGGTTCGACTGGTATATGCAATTACGTCGTCTGTTTCACGGTTTTTAAATCAGGCAGGCTTTGAAAGGCTCGTTGCACGCGCAGGGCATTCCGGGTAGTACCGGCAGCCATACATATTTCTGGTGGGCAGTCTCCAATGCGCTTTGGACTCTCTGGCCCGCTGTCTCAAGTGTTTCAAATTGGGCCAAGGGATCTGTTCGACTCTTGCCACGAGTTACAAAGAAAGCCAAGGCATGCGTTCTGTGGGTGTTCTTTGTGGGCTATCCTTGTCTGCTGGTGGCCTCACGACTTGAGGGGTGCCCAAAGACCGTCGCCTATCTTTGCCCGCCCCCATCCTCTTGAGATGGAGCGCGTTTTCCACGATTACCTGGGTGTGCAATACTGCAAGTTTATGCTTTGATTTGTATCGCGCATATACGTGCAATTATGTATGACGCTCGCTGGGTCGTGTGGATTCTGCGACCATTCGATGAGATTGTGTCTACTGCACTCGGCCAGTGTACGTGTTGGGCATAGGAGGAACCCATCAAGCAGAAAATGCGGTGGCCGTTATGGAAGGCACGCTCCTAATTTTGTATTCAACTGTACGCTTCCCTAATGCGAAGCAGTGGGCCCCACCTGTACCCTGCCCCCTGGGTTTGCCGCAGCCCAAGGCACTCTGAACCACGCGCCGCCCTCAGTGCGCCAACTCCTACTCCCCATTGCCTCTCATGTGAGCATTTGCGATCGATTGCACTGCTCCCGATACGGACCGCACATATGGAGAAGGTAACGGCGATATTGACGGAGAATGTGACCAAGACGGTGGTAGAGACGGTGGCGGATTGGGTTGGGCAGTTTGGAGCCTCTCTTGGGGAATTTCGATTGCATTACACTGTGATACGAACAGAGGAGCTCCCCCACTAACGGCGAAGCACAACAGGACCATTGTCTGGTGCGTTGGCTTGATACCTGGCCACATATTGCTAGCTCAGCCTTATTGACCTTTGAACGGGTTTTCCGTGTTGGCTGTGTTGGTGCTTGACTTCAAGACCTTGGTGGTGTGCTCGCGATGTGGTGGGATATGGTGGGAAAGTCGGTTGAAGCCATAGCATTCACTAGCAAAACAAGGACCAAATAACACTCTTGCGAACACACATAAACACACATTTCATCAAAGTTCTGCACGCTAAGAACACAAAAATAACCCAAAACCGCAAATTTGGACACGGTTGAACACGTGTTGTTTGGCCCCTTTTTCCCCAGTGATTGTAACACATTATCACTAGCAAAAAGAGGGCCAAATAACGCTTTTGAGAACACATATGTATGCTTTTCATCAGTGTTATGCATTCTAAGAGCACGGAAACAACCCAAAACCGTAAACTTTGTACACTTTTCAACATGTGGCACTTTATTTGGCACCTTTTTCCTAATGCATTGAGCAGTAATGCACCGCTCTTGAATTGTGACTATGGAAGCGTTGATAGTGACGCGGTGCATTGCTGTGCCTGCATGCTTGTTCATAGTGGCGCCTCTAATGCACTGCTTTTATAGCGGAGTTCTGGCGTGGCTTATTCTATAGTAAATTGGTGCAGAGCTGCGCGCGAGGTTCTTCAAATGGTACAAGTGTTTGGCGCCTGGTATTTGCTTGTACTGGCAATGGCACATACTACGACATACTTGAACGTACTTGACCATAATTGAAGTAGCGTGTGGCCCTGTCAACTTTCCAAATGAATTCTCTGGTTGTCTATGCAGCACAATCTTTGGACCTAACCAAGTCGTTTCGCGCATTCAAAGAAGTGGCCTTTACGATTAGTAAAGAGAGTTTAAATTGAACGGATAGGCCAGGGCGGGACGATTTGTGAAGGACACTCACGCAGTCTGGTTTTGGCATTTTCGTCAGTCAATGGACACCTTCTCACTCTCACCACAGCCGAGGTCGCACTCTTGTTGTAAGCCTATGCACCTCGCTGTGTCGCCACTATTTTCGCTGCTTCACTTCGCGAAGTGAAGCCAGCGCAGGCCCTTTGGGAACTCTGTCTCTCCACGTGGACTGCTATCCACGCTGCACCCCGGCACAAGTGGATCTTGTGCCGTGCCTTCCCTTCATGGGAGACCTCGGAGCCCAGCTGAACCAGATCTCGGAACAGCTGGCGCAGTTCTCCGCGTCTGTAGACGCCAGATTGAAGATCTTGGAGCAGCCTCAAGCTGCATTGGCCGCCCCCGGTGGATCTGCCGCGGGGGGGCATTCTGGTGGAGCTGGAGGAGCCGCAGCGAACCAGCCCAATCAAGAGGCGGAGCTGCTGGAACGCTACCAATCAGTGTGCGTTGCATTGACGGGCTGCCTGCCGGATCGCCCTTTGCAAGAGCATTGTTGTGACTCAGCCTTGGGGCTTTTGCATTGGGAGTCCAATCCAGTTGGCAGACCTCCGTGGGTACGGGGTGCGGGCAAGCATTTCAATCTCCTCCGAGGAGACTCCTCGACACTTGCTACGGTCAACGACTGGCTAAAGAGCTGGGCGAGAACAGCCCTTTCTTTCACGAAGTCGTCGGGTGGGCGCCTGTGGCGAGCTACTTGTTTGACGCGGTGGCACAGTTGTGTTTGATTGTCGGGCACCCCAACTTCCCCCAACCCCAGAGAGCGCAGTTGGTGGGCGTGACCGAGGCTTTGCAACAGACACTGGACACGGCGCTGGCCCGTTTGAGGGTCCACGAGTACCGTGCTCAGTTCGATCGCCGCGGCGTTCCAGCCGCAGCAGGATTCCAGGCTGCGCTCGCATTGGAAGGTCAGCAATCGGCGTACAGGCCCGCAATCGCCGTCCAGTACGACAAGCAATTGCTCGAGTCCGTTCGCAAAGCCCACGGGAAGCTTATTGCCAATGGATCCACCAAAACCACGAGAAATCGTTCGCGGGTTGGAGATCACAGCAGCAAGCGCCAAGGCAATCCGACTGGCGGCAAGGGCAGGGGCAGCTCCAACGGTTCCAACAAAGGGGGCAACGCCTAGCGCCCCCCTTGGGTACCGGCCTCGCGAGAATGCGGGGACGGGGTAACTGGCGACGCAGGGCAAGTCGCCGGGTAGCGGGCACGTCAGGCGCGTGGGGCGTCCCTGGCGCATCATCTTTGACAGGTGCCGCGACTTCAATCAATGCCCAGTCATGCTGGACATTCGGTACTGTCGCGCACCCGATACCGACAACTGCGGTCCCTGTACCGCAAGTACAACGTCAACCCGAGAGACTTCCCGGCGTGTCGAGTCCGGGCAGCCCTACCAGTATGGAGACGGATGACATCGGACCTTCGGGTTCCGAGCTGGATCCGGGACGTTGTCCCAATGTCATGGCAGTCCTGACCACCGAGACCGTTCCATCACGGGAATTCTGTCATGCAAGGGGAACATCGGATGGCTTGGGAAGACCAGATTCTACCATGCTACATCCGAATTGGGGCTCTCAGACCAGCATCATGCCAGGATTACGTCAGCAGAGCCTTCCTAATACCGAAACGGGACGGGGGTTATCGCTTAGTGATCGACCTCCGACATCTCAATGCACATTGTTGGGTGCCGACAACCCGTTTCGAGATGCTGGCGACACTCTCCGGCTGGATGGAACCGGAGAGTTGGATGATTGCTTGGGAATTCCGAGACGCCTACATGCATCTGAGACTACAATCGGACTTCATCAAATATGTGACAATTCAAGTGAATGGCGAGTATTGGGAGGTACCCACCCTTTCCTTCGGGTGGTGCGGGAGTCCGTTTTACTTCACAAAACTACTCCGGCCATTAGTCACCTTCCTCAGGGCACCGCAGGACAGCATATTGTGTCCTCCCTTGAATTTCCCCTCCCTTCGCCAATTGTGGGAGGCGAACTACTTCATCAAAATCCTGCCCTATTTGGACGACTTCCTTGGGGCAGGAAGCGACAGGCGGAATTCGCGAGCCTGGGGTGTCCTAGTGAGGGCGCTCCTAAGCGACTTAGGATTGGAGATCAAAGACTCCAAATCCATCTGGGAACCAGTGACTTCGAAGGTTCACCTCCACCTGGTTGTGGACTCATGGCGGGCCATGTTCCTTTGCCCGCCGGACTCCTTGAGAGTCCTCCAACAGTTGGCGAAGGACATCATCGTCAACAGTAGCTTGAATGCACGATTGGTCATGGCCAGGAAGGTGGCCCAGTTCGCCTTGCCCCAACCCAGTTTTTCCTGCGCGAGCTCTTCTCCAGTCTATGGAACAAACAGAGCTAGAGCTCCCCAGTGCGCCTCAGTCGCGAGGCATTGGCGGATCTCCGTTGGTGGACGCAAGTTCCAGACAGGTGGCAGGGCAGAGCCTTTCTACGCTAACCAACATCAGTATCGATGGCGACCGACGCCTCGGATTTTGGATGGGGCGCCGCCTTGGAGGATCCACATTGCCTAACCTCGGCCCAGCCCCT